CCCCCCCCCATTACTCCACTCCACTCTTATTCCCACTCGTACTCCTACTCCTACTACACTTTTCTTTTCTTAATGATTCTTTTAATTTTTGTTTTTTTATTTTTTCCCTTCGTTTTCTCTCTTCCTTTCTTTTTCTTTTCTTCCTTGCTTTTCCCTTCTTCTATACTTCTCGATATCTTTCTCTCGATACCTGTCTGTCGATACTTCTCTCTCGATGCCTGTCTCTCGATACTTCTCTCTGCCTCTCTCGATACCTTTCTCTCGATGCCTGTCTCTCGATACTCTCTCTCGATGCCTCTCTCTCGATACCTTTCTCTCGATGCCTGTCTCTCGATACCTCTCTCTCGATGCCTCTCTCTCGATACCTTTCTCTCGATGCCTGTCTCGATACCGCTCTCGATACCTGTCTCCTCGCTCCACCCTGCTCTCATTTTTCGCTTGCAATTTGTTGTTCATGTCTATTATCTTATTGTTTTTTGTTTTTGTTTATTCGTTTTTGTGTATTATTACTTTTGCTACAATATGTTATTAATTTGACAGTGTTGTTGTTGTACAGTGAATGGTGGATGGAGAAAGAGAGGGAGAGAGATAATGAGATATGGAGAAAGGGAGATATGGTGAGACAGAGAGGAAGATGTGGAAAAAGGGAGAGAGAGATAAATTAGTAGATATATAGAGATGAGAGCAGAAGGAAGCGGAAAAGAAGAAGAAAAAGGAAAAAATGAAGATGAGGAGAAGCAACGGAAAAGGGGAAGAAGAAAAGGAGAAAGAAGGTGGAGGAGTAAGAGGTGGGGGGAGGGGGGGGAGCTGGAAGAGGCGGCGGGGGGAGAGATTGTGTGGGCGGCGGAAGAGTTAGGAAGTCGCTCGTGTGTGCCCTTGTGTCTTTTTCGGTTCAGGGGCAGAAGGGCGATATTTGCATGGCTTGCCTTTTCTGGTGTTCAACGCTCTCTCTCTCTCTCTCTCATCTCCTCTTTCTCTCTCTCTCTCTCTCTCTCTCTCTCTCTCTCTCTCTCTCTCTCTCTCTCTCTTTCTCTCTCTCTCTCTTTCTCTCTCATCCACTCCTCTCTTTTCACTCTTCACTCTTTCTCTTCACTCCTCCCTCCCTCCCTCTCTCTCTCCCTACCTACCCCCCTCTCTTCTCTCTCTCTCTCTCTCTCTCTCTCTCTCTCTCTCTCTCTCTCCTCTCCTCAAATTCTACTCTCTCTCTCCTCTCTCTCTCATCTCTCTCCTCTCTCTCATTTTCTTTCTTTCGCTCTCGCTCACGACGACTTTGTTATGACCTTAGTCTTTTTTTCTCTTTCCTTTTCCTCTTATTTTTACTTGGTATCAGTGGCTCTTAAATTTTTATACCTTTTTCTGTCACTTGTTTATTACTCGATTTACTTTCACTTGTATCATTCATACATTTTCCTTCATTTGCCAGTCTGACTAAATACTTTATATTTATATCTGTGCATTCGCTAAACTCTTCTCCTGACCCCTCCTTCTCCTTTCTCCCCTCTCCTCCTTTTCCTTTCTCCTTCCTCTTTTCTTCTCCTTCTCTCCCCCTCCCGCTCCATTCCCTTTCCTCCTTCCTTCCTTCTCCAATCTCCACTCCTTCTCCCTCTCCACACTCTCTCTCTAACTCTCACACTCACACTCACACAACTCTCACACTCACACTCCCTCACCCACTCCTTCTCCCTCTCCCACCTCCCTTTCGCCACCCGTCACTGCCTCTCCCACTCCCTCTCCACTCCCACTTCCTCTTCCCACAACACACCGTCTCCCACTCACAACTCATTTCCACTCCTTTTCCCTCTCCCTCTCCCACCCACACTCCCTTTCCCGCTCTCATTCCTCTCTCCACGACACCTCCCTCTCCCTAACGACTCTCCCTCTCCACGTACTCTCCTCCCCACGTAACTCTCCCTCTCCCACGTACACTCCCTCTCCCACGTACAACTCCCTCTCACGCACGTACACTCCCTCCCCACGTACACTCCTCTCCCACACCCACTTCCTTCTCCTCTCCTACCCTATCCCTCTCCCACTCTCCCCTACCCACTCCCACTCTCCCTCTCCCACTCCCCTCCTCTCCTCTCCGCACGTTTGTCCTGACTCTCTATCGCGCGATCTCTCTATCTACATCAGTTATATCTTAAATTAAATTCTCTCCCTCCCATCCCCCCCCACCTCGCCTCGCCCAACCACCCACATGCAACCCCCACCCCCACTTCCTCTGACTTCTCCGGCAATGCTTAAAACACGGGAAACTGCCAAGAGCGTGGAAGGAGGAGGGGGGAAAGGGGAAGGGGGGAGGAGGAGGAGGGGGAAACATAGAGGAAGGAGGAGGAAGAGAAGAGACGGAGAGGAACGGATAATAAAGGATGAAGATTGAAGGGGAGGGAGGATATAGGGGATTGGATAAAAGAGAGGAGAGGGAAAGGAGGACGGTAGGAGGGGAATGGATAGAGAGAAGATCGGGAGGAGCAAGAATGGAAAGAGATTAATTCAGAAGAGAAGAAGAGCAAAGGGGGAGAGATAAGAAGAGAAGGGAGAAAGAACGAAGCGATGAGGGAGAAATAGGGAGAAAGGGAAGAAAATTGAAGAAAGAAGAGGAAGAAAAAAATAAGAGGAGAAGGGAGACATAGCTGACTTTCCATTCTTCATTCTTCTCGCTGTATTCCTGGACCTGCACTGACAACCTTTGGTGGTACAATTCTTCGTTTTTTTTCAAGTGTGGCTCTTTAATAGTTACTATATGATGATATATAATAATACTGATAAAATAATGATAAAAGGGAAGTGGGGGACGAGTAGGGTGAGGGGTATGGAGGGAGAGAGAAGTAAAGGGAAAGGGGAAGGAAGAAGGGAAAGGGGAAGAGGGAGAGAGAAGAAAGGAAAGGGGAGAGGAGAGATAAGAAGGGAAGGGGGAGGAGAGAAAAGGGAAAGGTGAGGAGGAGAGAAGAAGGAAAGGGAGAGGGAGGAGAGANTCCTTCTCCTTCTCTCTCTCTCTCTCTCCCTCTCTTCCCCCCTCTCTCTCCATCTCCCCCCTCTCTCTCTCCCTCTCCCTGCCTCTCTCTCTCTCTCTCTCTCCCTCCTTGTCTCTGTCTCCAAGACTGTGAGGCCATGACAGGAAACGCTCAGTCCTAAGCCAAACAGAATATCCCTTTCTCTTCCCGACCTCATAGTGAGTGATCTTCTCTTTGTTGTCTTTGATGTAGGCTTCGTCTTCCAAACTGTAATGGGTGACTTTAAATTTCGTCAATTCATCTTCTTTCTATTCTCTATTTGTTGCTATTATCTTATCGTGACAGCCGTATGCAAGATGTATAATTGATTTCGTAAAGTTGCGATGCTGCATTCACAATTTTCATCAGGTTCTTATGTCATTTTCATCACTTCAAAATTCGTCCTCATTCGTGCCTTTTCCACACGTCACTTTCGTGTCATATTTCTTGTATTCTGTTTTAATTTAGTCTTCTATTTTTTTCAACTTCTCTTCCAGGGTGATTTCACTAATATTTTCCACGTATTTGTTTGAGGTTATCTCGTTGCATTTGGTGTTAAATGCTATTTATGGTGGTCTTTGTACAGTCTTTTTTATAGTATGTCCAATATCATTTATGGCCTGTAAGTACGTTTAATACACCTCAAGGATACAGAGTGTGTTCGATATATACATTATGTTTTTTATCATATCTATATTTTCCTTCTTATGGAAGACAGAGAGAGAGAGAGAGAGAGAGAGAGAGAGAGAGAGAGAGAGAGAGGAGAGAGAGAGGGAGAAGAGAGAGAGAGAGAGAGAGAGAGAGAGAGAGAGAGAGAGAGAGAGAGAGAGAGAGAAGAGAGAGAGAGGAGGAGAGAGAGAGCGAGGTGGGAGAGAGAGAGAGAGAGGAGAGAGAGAGGAGAGAGAGAGAGAGAGAGAGAGAGGAGAGAGAGAGAGAGAGAGAGAGAGAGAGAAGCGAGAGAGAAGAGATGTCCTAACGTCAAGCCTACCGCATTCCTTAATCCCACGTAACAGCAAGCAGGTGTTCGCAAAGCATAAAGATAACACAATAACAACTGAAAAAAATCGACTTGTGTGTTTTCCAAAAACCGAATATTTACGTAGTCGAAAAACACTCCAGTATATCATACGTCAGATATGAAAGGAAATAACAGTGAGGATAATGTAAAATGATGATATTAATATAATGAAAATATAACAAAATCAACCGAATATTTACGTAGTCAGAAATACTCCAGGATATCATACGTTAGATGTAAAAGGTAATAATAGCAAGGATAATGCATAATAATGCTATCAATATGATGAAATAACAATAACAAATTCAACAACAGCAACAATAATTATGATGTTGATGATGATGATGATAACAACGATGATAATAATAATAATTAGAATGATATTAACGATAATGATAATAACAATGATATAAATACTAATATTGAATATATAGATACATAATTGTCTTTCTCACACGATGAATATGAATGAGACATAAATTATTCAACATGTCTATCCCTCCCACCGGAAGTGTTCCCAAAGACCTTTTCTTAAGAAGAACTTTACGCTATTCTTAAAAAAGGGAAAAGAGAAGCGAGAGGAAGAGAGAGAGAGGAGAGAGAGAGAGGAGAGAAGAGAGAGAGAGAGAGAGAGAGAGAGAGAGAGAGAGAAGAGAGAGGAAGGAGAGAGAGGAGAGAGAGAGAGAGAGAGCAAAGAGAAAGAAAGAGAGAGAGAGAGAGAGAGAGAGAGAGAGAGAGAGAGAGAGAGAGAGA